TTGCAATTATTAGGAAGGTAAGAAATGTTTCTCGGTGAAATTATTAAAGAAATTCATTTAGCACTATGCAAGTTGAATTGTGAATCAATGAAAGTCTGAACAGATGCACTCTTGGAGTTTCCATAGCGAAATTTTGAAAAGTCAATTGAACTGCTCGATAGTTTTAGTGTTAAGATTCATTAAAATATTTAATATTATAACTGGTGCGATATTGGAGCCTACAGAGTTCAAAGGGTTAATGACACATTGCGTACCGGCTAATTTTCAGAAAACTGAATTGCAGGTGGTAATTTTCACTGAGGTCAACTTATACTACATAACAATATATCTGAGTTTTTCTATGTATAGTGATATAATTTTAAATAGATAATCAATTCGAATTAAAATACTAGTGTTGTAATATCGATTATATGAGTTGTATAATCTAGAATTAACAGCAGTCGGAAGGTTTAATGTTGTAAACAATAGATATAGTTTCCTTACCCGCTAGTATTCAGGAGTTCCATATCAGAATCAGTTTTCTAGAAAGGCCTCCCCACGTTTCAATTATGAATGAAATTGCGCAGCAACAGGGACGGAAGATTCGTGTATCAGTTTCTACTATCTCGATAAACACTTCCTTCCGCCATTCCGTCGAGGATAACATCCAAATTCGCAGAAGCGGCTCGTCGGGATAATAGGATTTTAATTGTCTTATTCCCAGCGCATGAACGAAATCGCGTATAATTACGATATCAAGCGCGCCGCGCCTCTTATCCGAACGCGCTCCCCCCCGTCCATTAACTCCTCAAAGCGTAACAAAATCACGAAACCAGAATCTCCCCGTAATTCGAGCCCACGGCACCGCGAAAAACATCCGGTCGAACCTTCTAACCCAATTCAACCAACAATCACCGAGCCCATTAAGAATGTTATTAGCGAAGTTCCTCCGATTCCGGGTCGCTCTGATTTCCCGGCGAAATTCGAGGGCGGTTTCGGGGTTGCAGCGGGAGTCCCGGTTCCCCGTCGCGCCGATTACTCATTTACAGGTAATTTACTGTTTAACGACAAGGGTGGCGGGCGCTCGCGCATAGGCGCGTCTCCGCCTCTCCCCTCCCCCTTCCCCGACCACCCCCTTACGTCCCGTTCCACTGACGAACCGGGCCGTCAAGCAGCCGCGAGTACACGGAATTTAATTAACGATGTCGTTACGGCTGTCCTTAACTCGAAAATTTCCCGTTCAACTATTCAACGGCCGGAGATCTGCTGGTTTGCCACTGTTGCGCCAGACACCGCGCAGCGCAGCGACGCGGCGCAACGGCCGGAACAATCAGACCCGGCCTCTCGCAGACGCGACGCGTAACCGACGATTAATAACGAATCCACCTCGGCCCCGGCGAGCATTTACATCTAAATTGTAATAAAAGTGTTGCCGCAGATACCGATCGGAATTAACGTGCCGGGACGGCGTGTTTCGGGCCCGATCCGCGGCCCCTTTGATACCGAGGATGTCAGTGGTTCTATTAATGCGAAAACCGGCCCGTAGATCCGTCGACCGATTTCGCGTGTTCGCTCTGTTCGAGCGAACCTCCTTCCCTCCGCGATTTGCCTCGCCGCGACGCGCCGCGGCCCCGGTTTCTGATTGTCTGCGATCAGGCCGTTGCGTTCGGTCGTTACGTTCGTCACGGCCGCCTGGATTCGTCGAGTAAAATCGACCACTACGCCCCGTGTCGTCCCTCTTCCTCCGGACTCGTCCAGTGAAATCGTCACGTACGCGCTCCTCGTTCCTCTTTCGGATTTGCAACCGGGGAAGGGAAACTTTTGCGAAACTGTTGCGCGTTTCTGCACTTTCAGTTTTTTTCCGCGCCGCCGTTCGTTTGTGGTATACCTGTCCCGACGTGTTCGTCTCGGTCGTTTTTCTGCGCGACGGGTTTCCTGTCGCAGCAATGTTTACGAAGGAGCGTGAATCTTGGGAATGATTTTTATCGTTGACGCGGAGTATTATTTGTTCATGTGTTAGGGTGTTTAGACTGCGAGATATCTGGTTTTGGTAATATAGTATTTGGAATTATGTTTCTGACGCGTTCGGTTGCAAGTTTGATAAATTAGAAGTAAACAACCGTGAAATACTAAGCGAAATCAACTAATTCTTTGTTTTATAGAAACTAAGGAACATTCATCGATATAATTCGACTTACATTTCAATTTACACTGCATCAACTTAGAAATCTTTCTAAACGATTTCTGTAAGTGCCAATCTGTCGATTCATTGAATCAGATGAAGTTCATTTATTTCATTTCCTCATAATTATTCATTTTGATTCTCGTTATTACCCTCCTAAACAACAATATAACAATATAACGATCTTACTATTTAGAATTTATTTTTGTAAAAATAGACAAGCGTAATCCAGTTTCTGAATTGAATCGAAAGAATCGTAAAGATCGCGCAGCTCGGTATTTTCCGACCGAGTTTTTAGGAAGACCCGTGGCACTGAAATGACTAAATAACAATATCCTTTCATCCACGACGTGAAAACGCGACTCGAGACAGCTCGCGCCGCCAGCGTTCGTGTCGCAACGGTGTCGGGTTTCTCAAATGTCCAAACTTCAATTCGGGAAAAATTACTAAACATAATAAAAGTATTCTAAGTTCGTTTCAAAAGTCTCTTGGCACTTCCGGTAGAAACAGTGCCAAGCGGCGCAAACATAGAATTTATTTCTATAAAAATAGAAAAGCCTTCTGCAGTTTCTGAATTGAATCGAAGGAATCGTAAAGATCACCATCGCGCAGCTCGGTATTTTCCGACCGTTGCTCCGAAATGATTAAATAACAATATCGTTTCATCCGCGACGCGAAAACGCGACTCGAGGCAGCTCGCGCCGGCAGCGTTCGTGTCGCAACGGTTTCGGGTTTCTCGTCGGGGCCACGGTGATTTTGCGAATCCGCGACACGGCGGGCCGGAATCGTCTGTCGCGTGTCCGGTGTATGCAAAGGTGGCGCGTGGTTTGCGGAAAACGTGAGGCCCGAAGTTCATTAGCACCGCCACGCGCCAACGGCCAGGGCCGTTGCACGCTGGCGCCGGACGAACGAAACGGACGCGGCCGCGCAAGAAAGAATTCTTCGCACGTGATCGACTTGACGGGGAATTCACGCTCATCAAATTCTTTCCGCGCGGAACTATTACGTAGCGGTTGTCCTCGTTCCCGTTTCA